CAACTGCATCTTATCGTGTGTTATCCTACTCTCAGTTCCCTCCGCCTGGCTCTCTGGGACTCCAAAACACTATTACATTGTTCCTGCGCTGGAAACGTTCCCGTTGTTCCTCCTCTCCCCTAACAGTAGGTCCGCTAATTTTCATTTCTTCGACACACTTCTTCAGAGCCCCTAGCTGCTGTAGAACCTGTTCTGATCCTGCACTACTCTCCGCCACCTCCTGTGGCAATGATTTTGTGGTTGTATGCCTCCTGACCTAGGTTGTTCCTTCAGTCGGTGGAGAGTAATTTTCAAATATACAATCGCGAATAGCGTTAAAAATCCTAAATCGATTTACACATTCACATCACTAAGATGATCTTAATGCTCTTATGTAATCACTATCCAATTTCTGCCGCTCAACAACGACGGCCCGAACGCCAACACGCTTTGTGACGACCTGCACGACGTAACTCACGACCTACTCATTAAAATTAATTTGTAGTATACCTATCATATCGTAATAGTAACTGTAAATACCTTCGCTTATACATTAATATAAAGTTCTAATTTAATAAGTAATTTATTTGTGGTAAAATATAAAATTAAAGTTTAATAATAGGTGCCAGTAACCTTATAAACATTAGAAACTATCACTCTTGCTATTACGACGATTAACAACTGTTCACAGTCACGCAACACGCCACCATAATGCTACCTTGTCATTGGCTAATATTTATTTGCTCCGGGGATCCAATGTGAAGTCTGCTGTCTTGACCCTACCTACCTGGTACTTGCTCAGCTGTCCACTACCTTCAAATTCCTTCTTGGATCTTAGTGGAGAGTTGCATGAACATGTCGTTGTTGCAGAAGGAACGACTACAGGAACGAGCTTACAAGTGTGGAAACTGACGTCCGGGTCTACAGAGGGACTTATTGGAAGACCAGTCAGGTGGAATCCCGAAGACGGAGGTGTGGACTGGCCAGGTTAAGACAATTATAGTGAGAGTGTCAGATAATCAGTAGTCCTGGAGAAGTGGGAGATACTCCGGCATAGAGGTGAGTAGAAGATGTCAACAAAACACTTTTTAAGTTTGGAGTTTACTCATTATTTGAAGTTGTGACTTTATATAGTAAAAGTACAAAAAATATTTTTTAATATACTGTATTTACCCGTCTTGGTCCGAAATTTTTTGAGTGTGAATACTTAATGAAAGGTATGATAACTTTGTCTACTATTGTATGCACCGAACGTGGTAACATTCTGAGAATCGGTCGATGTATCAGTAACACCAGAGTGTGATACAGCCATGCACACACATACACAGTTGTACAAAGTGAAAAACAAGTTTTGCATAATTATGTAAAAAAAATTAAGACAGAAATGATAAAGCATGCTGAGTTAACATGTCATTTGGCTGCTGCGCTTATATACATATAAAGTAAATTCAGTTGATCTACACTAATTAAGACGATGATCACTGGTATGCGAATTGGGCTACCAGTAAACAGTCACATCCATGGATACATTATGTAACATTTGTAACGACTAATAAACAAACGAAAATTTGCAGTTTTCATCAAGACTTGTGGACAAATCATGATTTTTAACCCTTTTGGTGATTTAAGATTGTTAGGTTATGTTGGCTGGCATTGCAAAATACACAAATGCTATTGGCATTCTTTTTTAATCCTATGTAAGTCATATTGCTTAAGAACTCTACTGTCAACTGATAGTGATGATTTTAGTTCAACAGGTCCTTTAGGTTAATGTCACGAACACTTTGAATGCCAAGGACTCTGGAGTAGATCAGTGCAATGTCAAAGACTGGTACCTGTCCTACTTTGATGTCTTTTCTATAGAAGCAGGAGTGGTTAAAAAACTGTTAGTGGATTGTTGAAGCCATGTGCAGTGTTGCTCACAGATGGCAGCACGCACGGGGCTGAGGCGGGGTTTTCAAGGACGTAGGGACATTCCCGCCTGTCCCAGTTGACGGTACAGTTTTGTGAGATCGTGGAATAAATTCTATTCTGGCATCGCATTCAAAGAATTAAGACAAATGTAGTTAACATTTACAATGAAGAGAGCCATTTATTTGCAACCTTTGGTCCTCAAAACCTAGGTATTAATCTAAAGTTTGTGACACTATGTCTATTAGAAGCTGAGATGAAGGTAGCCATCTTGCATATCTCAATTTCCCCTAAGTGGCACCCGGCTAATTTGAAATCAACACCCTCAAATTATGTAAAATCGTCCATAAAACATCGGATGTACAGAAAACACACTTTAAACCAAAACTCTAGTTTGGCCACAACACTATACCATCAAGGGATTACTATCAATAGGGCACACACTACAATCATGTGAATGATGACAGCAGGACATACGAACACCAAGCATATTTCTGTTATTTTGCTTATCCTGACTAATGTGGCTTTACTGTTGGTAGGAATAACACCAAGGATTTTCTATATATCATTCAACTGGGTTCCTGAAAACAGGCATAGGGTATCCTTTCTAGATATTAAAGTAGATTAAAAGTAAAAAAAAATGGGAGTGGGTAAGAGAGAGCATTCTATCCACCCACCACAAACGAAATCGAGTGCATAAATCATGCCACGAGGAGGTCTCTTGCGGGATTGTGTGAGACAGATGACCCAGAGACGGATCACGCATTCCTGGGTTATTACTCTGGGGAAATATCCCCTATCAAATGCATTTTTGGTTCCCCTTTACAGGCAACCACAATCTCACCTTATATCTTAAAAGCGTCAAGGTCCTTCACCGACTTAACACCCTTTGGGCGGAACACAATAAGCTTTTCGAAGAACAAGGGTTCAAACACCTCCATTACATCAAGCGAAGACCCTTTCCAAACAGTGCATCAAGACAGGACTGCATTACTGGGAGTGGCCTCGTCATTCCCTGAAGAGATCGATGAGCCAAAGTGGCCAGAGGAAGAATAAGAGACTTGGGCAGTCATTAGATGTGCCTTTGATTAATTTGCACACACACACACACACACACACTAGCGTAGCTAGGGGGGGCGGTCCGCCCCGGGCGGCACTTTTGGGGGGCGGCACTTTTGGGTCTGCTCATCACCCATATCTGCAGCTACTGGAGACGTTAATCCATCCCTTTGTATCGGCGGCAAGTTAATCCTTGTCGTGTCTGACCTAACACCTGACCCACATCATCACGGCCACGTCATGAGCTACACCCTTGCTATGCCCCCCCCCCCGCCACACACACAACCTGTAACCTGTTGAGGATTAAGGAAACAACTTCAAACAAGTACGCCAGTGAGCTCATGTGGTGTGGGTCAGGTGTTAGGTCAGACACGACGAGGATTAACTTGCCGCCGATACAAAGGGAAGGATTAACGTCTCCAGTAGCTGCAAAACCATGCAGTCTCGGGTCATATCAGTTCATGTACAGCCGACCAATCCACCAGTTACAAGCAATTCACTTCAGTTCTGCACAAGTCTCCATCGTGACAAGACGAGGGGAGGCTAGACGACTTTTAAGTTCTCTTGTGTTTTCGATCCAGTTATTTACTTCGTTGGAAGACATAATACTATAAGGTAAGAAATATTAAAGTATTGGTTAAAAAATATTGATGTGACTTTTGCTGCGGTACTGAGATTAAATATTAAGATTTTGTTTCACAGCATTGCGATTTTATACTAAGACACTATCCTCAATGGGGTACAAACAAAAGCCCCCCCGACAAAAGCCCCCCACCCAGACGAAAGCCACCCAGACAAAAGCCCCCTACTTTGATCGGGGTGGCTTTTGTCTGACAACAGTAAGGGCTTTCAAAAGTTACGGACATAATTAAATAGTTGAGGGTAAAATATACTGTTCTTCTCTGTGGTTAATTATTGGTTAGGTTAGGGTTAGGTTAAGTTAGGTTGGGTTGGGTTAGGGTTAGGGTTGTCAGACAAAAGCCACCCCGATCAAAGTAGGGGGCTTTTGTCTGGGTGGCTTTCGTCTGGGTGGCTTTTGTCGGGGGGGCTTATGTCAGACATCCATTTTCACTGTACTCTGAGTCTGTAATTTTAGATTAAGTTGCTACTTTTTACATTTCCATTGTATTACATTGATACTAGTGTCATTATACCGTGATTTTAGATCATACTCAATAAAAGATAACGGTGCAGTACAATTGTTTTATGTAACGGATTCCTAACCTAACCTAAAATAATATATATATATACATATATATATATATATATATATATATATATATATATATATATATATATATATATATATATATATATATATATATATATATATATATATATATATATGCATGCAGAAAC